AAATATTTTAAAATATTATTCTAAGTCTATCCAAATTGAGCTTATACCAACCTCTCCAAAATGCTGATTCTACACCACGAATAAATCTGACCAGCTTCTATTATCGACTTTTCTTCATATTCAAAGTATAGTGATGTCCTCTAAGGACTCAAATGGACTTTTTCACAACACTCTCAACAATGAGCTTCTTTCTGACTTAACTTTTACCCAAGTAAATCCTAGGTCTGAACATATGTGAGGCAGAGGCTACCTCAGAAAATGCCAGATAACTCACAGCATACTTTCACAGTTCCAGAGGACAGCTAGCGTAACCAACGTACCTGAGGTGATGGCCTGTCCATCCAGCTTCTGCAGAAGGGCACTTCTGACTTCCATTTCTCCCGCCAGAGAGAAAGTATATGCCAACAGGGCCTGTGTGTAGAGACTGCTGGTGGAGGTGACGGAATTCCTGAGACACCGCAGCCCTTGACTCACCATTGGGTCCTAAAAGGTGAAGATGAAGACCTGAATTCATACGACATTCCCCATAAAACGGGAAGTGATAAGGTTGGCTTTAAAAGGGTGACTAAGACATCAGTGAGATGGCTAAGCGGACAAAGGCACTTTCCACCAAGTCTGATGACCTGAGTTTGATACACAAAATCCATACGCTGGAAGAAGAGAACCAACTCCAGCAAGATGCCTTACCTCCGCAAGTGCACTGTGGCGTGCACACAGGCACACACATGAACGTGTGTAGACACACAATAAAAAGATAAAATAAAGGGTGAATAGAGCCAGAGATGGGTCAATGTGTCTAAAAATATGCAAAACAAGAAAGGAGCTGGAAAACTCACATCTACAGTCTTTCCCATCTCCAGCAGCGCTGCTGTGATGTAGGCAGTCAAGGAAACCTCGTCGTCAACACCACCCTGTGGAGAAATGGAGACAGGACTCAGAGCAGTGGCCAGCACCTCTAAGAATCCTGTGCAGGTTGCAAAATGAACCCCTGCACTGGAATGATTACTTTAAAAAAAAAATGTGTCCTTGCCCAGGACACTGTAAGGTGAGGCGACATGAGACTGCCAACTGGGTGGGCATTTAGAAAGCCACGAGGAGTTAACTTAGAGGTTAGAAGGGGGAGAAACAAGGAGAGAATCACCACATTGTCACTGACAGCCTCCTCCCAGGGAACTCTCCCAGGAAGCACAAGCCCAGCGCCTTCACTGGGGAAGATTAAAGTCAAACCTTCCCTACTTAACACCTTCCCCAGAAAGAGCCTAGAAAGTTTGAAAAAACTACCTAATCTCAACTAGTACCTTTATTCTATAGATAAGAAAGTAAGTCCTTAAAAACATTAAATGGATTTGAAGCCACAGAGCTCTCCTGCCAAACCACCAAACTTCACACAGGTACTAAGTTTCTTTTATATATATATATAAATTTTATGTATATGCGTGTATTGCCTACATGTAGATAAATGCACCTGTGTCATGCAGTGCCCACAGAGGAGAAGAGGCTGTGGATCTCCTGGAACTGGAGTTACGGACTGTTGTTAGCTGCCATGTGGGTGCTGGGATTCGAACCCAGGTCTTCTAAAGGAACAGCCAGTATTTTTAACTGTTGAGCCATCTCTCCAGCCCCAGGTACTAAGTTTCTTAATGGACTGGTTGGCTCTGGTAAGAAAGAAGGGGGGAAAACCTCTGGGATCTTGTTCCACTCAACTCCTGTCTTGTACCTCCCAGAACATGTCACACCGCATGGAAGAGTAACTACCCATGTGTTGAAGGCTTGGTCCCCAGCTCGTGATGCTATTGGGAGGTGGTACAACCTTTGGGGGTGGGGCATGGTTGGAGGAAGTTAGGTTATTGGAGATGTGCCTTTGAAGGGGCCACTGGGATCTCCTCCCTACCCCCCTACCCCACTTCCTGTCTTCCACGAAGTGAGCTGTCTCTATCACAGGCCCCATATGATAAATCATACCACCACAGGTCTGAAGCAATGGAGCCAGGCAATCATGGATTGAAATCCCTGAATGTGAGTCAAAATAAACATTTTTCTCCTCAAGCATTTTCTCACAGTGCTGGAAAGCTGACCACCACAAGGTATGCAAGAGAGGAAGAAGACACAGAGACAGGATCTGCATCAGGAATACTAATGAATCCTCTATGGAGAGTTGATTCTAGTGCTCATGATTTTTAATCCCAGTCCTAGAACATCAATGGAAATGATTTTGCCAGGAAAGATTGTACAAATCTCCTTCCCTTGGTGTGCTCTGAAATGGGTGTTATCCAGAATCCCTGCACCTTATCCTCTAGTTAGGAGGTGTGATGTTTAAAATTGTCATCTTTTAAAAATGTTTTATTTTGTATGTATAAGTGCATTGCCTGCATGTATGTAAGTGCACCGCATGCATGCAATGCCTGTGGAGGCCAGAAGAGGGTAGCAGGTCCCCTGGAACTGGAGTTACAGGTGGTCCTAAGCTGCCATGTGAGTGCTGGGAGCAGAACCTGGGTCTTCTGCAAGAGCAGCCAGTGCTCTTAACTGCTGAGCCATGTCTCCAGCCCACTTGATAGTCATCTTGGCAGGATAGGATCACCTAGGAGACAAACCTCTGGGCGTGCTTGTGAGGGGCTATCTAGATTAACTGGGGTGGGAAGACACACCCTGAATGTGGGCAACACCATTCCTTGGGCTGGAACCCTGGACTATAGAAAAAGGAGGACGTGAGCTGAACATGGACATTCATCTCTGCCTCCTGATTGCAGATACATGGGGACCAGCTACCTCCTCAAGATCCCATGCTGTGACTTCCTGACATGACGGACTATACTTTCAAGCCATGAGCCAAAATAAACCCTTCCTTCCTTGAATTGTTTCTGTCAGAGTATTTCCTCAGCGACAGGAAAAATACCAATATGGAAGGAGTGGAGGAAATGTAAGTACATGGGCAAGAGTAGTGCCTTTGAGGTCTGACCACGAGGCTTCAAATCTTGATCCTGCCACCTACTGGCACGCGGCTTGGGCTCTGTGCCTTATTTTCTTCTATAAATGAGCTTCATCACAACATGCCAGGACGTCCTGCCACCTACTGGCACGCGGCTTGGGCAGTTTACTGTGTCTCTGTGCCTTATTTTCTTCTATAAATGAGCTTCATCACAACATGCCAGGACTTGATTCACTGACTTGTTGTAAATATTAAGTATTGACACACTGAGAACAGTACCCGGTACAGAGTAAACCCCTTACAAAAGACACTGGGAAATGGCTCTGCTTCCCATTTGAGGGGAAACAACAAGCCCAGAGATTGTCTGGTCCAGGCCTGAAACTTCAGCATCTGTCAGAATCATCACAGGTTGCTGGCTCACACTCCCAGTTTCCACTCACTGGGTCTGGGCTGGGAGCAAGGATTTGTATTTCAAACAAATTCCCTGGTGATGCTGAACTGAAGACCACACTTGGAAAACCAATCTCATTCTACAGACATGAAAACTGACGCCCAGACTGGTAAGCACTTGACCAAAACTGCCTACGGCAGGGGTAGACCTGAAAAACCAACTTCCCAACCAGAGCTCATTTGATTCCCCTCAGTCTGAGGTGTGAGTTCCTCCCAGACACAGTGGAGGCTACAGGCCCCTGGGTGAATCCCCACCTTCATAGCAGTGTGCAGGAGCTTTCCCACGTTAGCATAGCAGCCGCTAGGAAGCTGGTTTCCTGCCATCCACTTGAGAGCATCCTGGATGTTCTTGTCATCGATAAAGATGAATTTCTGAGCTTGGCCAAAACATTTTGTGACAAAGGCTGTCAGCCTGCATGGATAATGAGGAAAACGTGGTAGGAAGGGGGAATCTCGAGGTGACAGTGCCTATGCCCAGTTTGTTCTGGTTCCAGAAGGGGAACCAAGACACAATGCATCGGAGGCCCAGAAAAGGGTGAACTGGGGCTGCACAAGGTCTGGGGGAAGAGTGAGGGACTGGACCAGATATGAGTTAGTTTCAGTATTATAGAAGCAAAAGGCTGAGTGCAAGAGGAATTGGGTTATGGGGAGAGGCAGAAAGTAGCTTAAGAATTAAACTCTAGAGTACAGAACCCATCGGGAAGTGGTCAGTGTTACCATGTATTGCCGTTTCCGTCCTGCTCTCCAAAGGCACTGTATGAGCCATTGCTGTGTTTGTACATCAGCTCCTTCTGGTACCCTGAGAAACCAGATGTGGTTTTAGACCTCATAACAACTTCGAAACATGTCTCCAACCTTCCCAAGGATGTGGGACACTTCAGAGACTAAACTTCCCTGTAGCTTGTCAACCTATGGTAAGACCTGGAGAAGAGTATCCCAGAAAGAAAGATCCAACTTACCTATCTTCAGAAAGCCCACTGCTCGGGACCTGATTTCCTCAGTCAGCAGACCTGTCTTCTCCAGGTACTGCAAGACATAGATGATGGGGGCAAAAATGATCATGTTCTGCTCCCCACAGCCACTAGGCATCTGTATCAGACCATCAAGGTGCTGCAGAGCTGTGCCCATGATGTCTCCTGGAGGTCCAAATGGAGAAAGAAAGAAGATGCTAGAGGTAAGAAGGAATTCTTTCTTTTTCTTTAATATTTTAATATTTTTAATTTATGTGTATGTGTGTATTGTCTGCATGTAGGTAAGTGCACCCATGTCACGCAATGCTCGCGGAAGACAGAAGAGGCTGTCAGATCCCCTGGAACTGGAGTTATGGACAGTTGTTAGCTGCCATGTGGGTGCTGGGATTCGAACCTGGGTCTTCTGCAAGAACAACCAGTGTTCTTAACTGCTAAGCCATCTCTCCAGCCCCAGAAGGAATTCTTAAAGGCTATGAATTATTTGACAAACATTTATTAGTTATCATTTACTGAGGACCTACTGTGTGCCCTGAGAGACAACAGTGAGATACGTTCTCTACCTTTAAGGAGCTCACAGTCAGAGGGACAGGCAATTATAATATAATGATGTTTATTATAAAATATTTTAATATAGTACAGTAATACTGGGTATGTACAAGGTATTGGAACTCAAGAAGGCACATGGGCCATCTAAGCAAGTTCAGTTCATGGTTTTTACGTGGGCATGCTGCCAGAGATGACAAGTGATAGAACAAAACTACCATACTTAGACTTGATATCTAAGTTCCTCAACTGCATGTAAATTCACCCAAATGATCACACTCCTCCCATACACCCACAATCCTGATACTTTCTCCAAGTTATAGCTACTGACCCATCACACACTCCATAAACCTGACATTGGCACTCATTCATGCTTCCGTTTTAGACATTAGGTTTGATTCAAATCTACAAACATGTACTGAATGTCAACTATATTATAGAAATCCGTGAGGAACAGAAAGGAAAATGGCATGGCCCCTGTTCTCGGCGTGAAGACAACTATCTTGAGTTGATACACTACGGTAAGATAACTGCAGTATCAGAGTTACCGATAAAGCAGCCAAAACAGAAAATGACCTGCACAGCATCTCAGAGGGGTGAGAATAAAGAGCTGAATAGTCAGCCAGCAACACAGGTGCTAGACATCGAGGTGGCAGGCACACCTACGTCACGGATTTCCGTCTCCACGTCAGTCCTGGGAAGTGAATTACTATCACCGTTTCACCAACGTGGGGTATTTTGTGACTTTGTTCAGGTTGTGGCGGGATTCAGTGGCAAGTTGGATGCAAGTGTCAAGCTCACTTCCACTGGTCCCCTAAAGGCGTGAAGTGTGCTGTTTGCATAAACGTGGCCGCTGCCCTCCTTAGCTGTACTCACCTGCTTCATAGGTAAATGGCCGTGGCAAACATTTTGTCTCCTCTCTACCCAGTTACTAGACACCCTAAACTGAAATGTGTCGGACATCTGTGATAGTGAGCTTCCTCCTGCTCTCTTTATTTCTTGTTAAAGATTTATTTTAATTATTTACTTAATCATTTATGTTTGGGACAGGGACAGAGTCTCACCGTGTAACTCTGGCTGGCCTGAAACTCACTAAGAAGACCAGGCTGACCTGGAACTCACAGATATCCACCTGTCTCTGCTTCTCAAATGATGGGATTGAAGGCATGAGCCACCATGTATGCCTGGCTTAAGATTTGTGTGTGTGTGTGTGTGTCTGTCTGTCTGTCTGTCTGTGCACTTGCATGCAGGTGCCCTCAGAGGCCAGAACTGAGTAGCAAAGTCCCTAGACTGGGGTTATGGGGTTACAGGTGGTTGTAAGCTATGTGGCATAGGCATTACGGATTACACCTGGATCCTCTGAAGATCTCATAACCACTGAGCCATTTCCCCAGCCCCCAACAACTCCTTCATTTTTAATTGGACATGTGATCCCTCTACATTACTGTTGTGCCAGGCTTATTTTTCTTCTTTCTGGCTGGGCACACCTCCTTCACGTTCATGTGCTTCCCGGCTCCTCCTTTGCAGCCTCTAACTTACCTTTTCCTCTTTGAGCAAGATTACCAGCTGCTTACCTAGAGCAGTAACATAAGCCTTGGCCGAGTCAGGAACAGCATCCACAGGAAGCTCCAGGGAGATGGATTCTAAAGCTACCTCTCCTGTGACCACAGAGAAAAGGTGACATGGGAGGTAAAAGGAGATATAAGGGGCTTCTCAAGCCTGAATCACACAATCGTGTGCTATGATCTATACCCACCGCTTTCTGTGGGATAGAGGCAGATGTGTTTAAGCCAATTCATAATGACCTTTGATGAAAATAAATTCCATGGAGTCATGTATGTGCTCCTTAAAATTCTCTTTTCAATCCTGCCCTCAGTTCCTTGGTCCCAGCAGGGATGACAACTGAGACTCTCCCTTCTTGTCCTGCATATTCCTCTTTTTGTTTTTGTTTTGTTTTGCTTTGTTGCGACAGGGTCTCTATGTAGCCCTGGCTAGCCTGGAACTCTCTGTATTGACTAGGAAGGCCTCAAACTCAAGATGATCCTCCAGTTTCTGCACTCAATTAGGATTGCAGGTTGCACCACCACACCCAGCGCATTCCTCCTTTGCCATGTATAAATCCTCTGTTGCCCAAAGAACTTCTCCCTACCTGCCCCTTCAGGCCTACTCACCTTTTGGGCAGAGCAATGCGCTGTGAGTTTTCTCCACAAGGACTCCTTCAGGCTGCATAAGGAGAGACATGAAGACAAAACAATGGAGCTGGGACTGGACAGAGGGCTCAGCAGTTAAGAGTGCTGACTGCTCTTGTAGAGGATGGACATTCAGTTCCCAGCACCCAAAGGGTGGGTGGCTAACAACCATCCATAATTCCAGTTCCAGGGGATCCGATACCCTCTTCTGGCCTCTGCAGGCATTTCATACATGTAGTACACCTACATTCATGTAGGCAAAACACTCATACACATAAAATAAATTTAAAAAATAAATAAATAAAAATAATGGAGTGACTATCAGGTATGAATGACACAGGGACAGAAGGACCAAAGATGGGGAGAAGAGGCTGTCCTTGTGTACCGACAGCCCCCAGAACTTAACAGAAGGGAGATTTTTAATTTAAAAATTTTTTTTGTTCTTTTTGAGAGAGGGTCTCTATGTAGCCCCAGCTGTCCTGGAACTCACGAGGTAGACCAGGCTGGCCTTGAACTCACAGAGATTTGCCTCCCAAGTGCTGGGATTAAAGGCATGTACCAACATACCCAGCCTAATTTTTAATTTTTTTAAACTTAGGACTCTGTTTCAACCCAGGGATAGGTTCTTTCAATAAATTCTTTCTGAGCACAGCCTACAGCTAGGGACAACTTTAGGAAATTTTTAAGAGGCAAAATTAACAATGAGGTTTATGAGGGGTTAAAGGAACAGTTGACGGGGCTGGAGAGATGACTCGGTGGTTAAGAGTACTGGCTGCTCTTGCAGAGAACCTGGATTCAAATCCCAGCACCCACATGGTGGCTGTCTATAACTCCAGTTCCAGGGAAAAATCCAGTGCCCTCTTCTGACCTCCAGGGGCATTGCATGACATGGGTGTACTTACATGCAGGCAATACGCTCATACACGTAAAATAAAAATAATTTTTTTTTAAAAGAAGGGGGAGTCGATGATAAAGTCAGGGATTTTAACAAGGGAAACTAACATTCATTGGTTATCTACAGTGAACCAGGCACCACATTAGCATTTTCACAGGCCATAGATATGGGTTAAGGACAGAGGGGTCCAGAAAGGAGAAAGCAGACACTATCAGACTGGAGATGGAGTGTGAGGGCTGTGAGATGAAGTGGCAGGTATTGGGTATCCTGTGTGTTACTGTCTCTGCCTTTGTGCCCAGGTCTGCCAGACACTCACCTTGACAAGAACTGGTTTGATAAGTGTGTCACTCTGACCCCTTTTGGGGACAAACCCTTTCTGGCCCCCACAGAGTTCATTGCTGTCTAGAATCTTTGTAGTAATGGTAAAGTTAACATGACCTGAGGAGAGAGAAGGAACAGAGGGCATTAGCCTTAGTACCAGAGGTACCAATAACACCTCTTCCCCATTAGCTCAGTCTCAAACTGTCACGGCCTGGTTAGGATCCTGTCCTAGTGCAAACCCTGACTCAAGAAGCCTGCCTAGGGCCTGCATTCTGCATTCCTCGCACTCCCAGGCAGTGACAATGATGCTGGTACAGTGTGGTAGGTGGCTCTATGGGGGAAGAATCCCCTGCTTCCTCCGTTGCAGGGTGGACTAGACTGAGCGACTCCATTTGGGGAAGAGGGCTTGTTTGTTTTTTAGTGCTGAGGATGGTACTGGGGCTTCATAATGCATTCTAGGCCAACACTCTACCACTAAGCCACACCCCCAGTCCAAGTAACTCACATCTAGTGATGAGACAGAGCAGAAGTAATGGACTGTCTCATCCACTATTCGGTTTTACAAAGACTGCAGATTCTCTCTAGTGTGCACACCTGCCAGCCATGTGCTCTGGAGGGAGACCGCTAATACGTGGGGAGACAACTAATATGTGACAAGGCAGCTCAGAGAAGACTCGTCATGAGACACGGATCTTCAGCTGACAACTGAGGTCAAGAACTGTGGCCCTCAGTCCATCAGCCTGTGAGAACCAGGGGCTTTGAACTGAGCTTGAAAGTAGATCCTTTTTTATCAAGTCTTCAGCTGAGACCACAGCCCCAACTGAAAGCTTGAACTTCTTGATAGACCTTGACCAGAGGTACCTAGCTAAGCTGGACTTGATGAGTGACCCTTAGAAACTACAATAAATGTGTGTTCTTTGGGGGCTGGAGAGATGGCTCAGCAGTTAGCACTGGCTACTCTTGCAGAGGACCTGGGTTTGATTCACAGTACCCACATGGCAGCTAACAACCATTCATAACTTAGTTCCAAGGGATCCAATGCCCTCTTCTGATCTCCTTTGGCAATGCATGACACAGATGCACCTACCTACATGCAGGTAATACCTCATACACATAAAATAAAAATAATAAAATATTTTAGATGTTTATTCTTAGGCCAGGGATGTAGCTTTACTAGATAGCTTGTCTAGCATGCATGAAGCCCTGGGTCCTGTCCTCAATACCACATAAATAGGGTGTGGTAGCACATGCCTATAACCCTTACACTGGAGAGGTAGAAGCAGGAGAATCAGAAGTTCTAGGGCAGCCTCAGCTACTTAGTGAATTTGAGGCAAGCCTGGAATACATGTAACTATGAATGAATGAATGTTTGTTCTTCTAATCCATTAAGTTTTATGGTCATGTATAATTACTACACCAAAGGCCATACTTTTGACTGCAGGGATTTACTCCATGACAGCCAGCCATCTGGTGGGTTGGTGTGAGGATGAAATGACATAGGTAATACATGTAAAAAGCATTCAGAATAATGCCTGCCCTACAGTGAGTGTTTGAGCAATTACAGGACCATATGTTCCTTGTCTTGCTACAGGTCCCAAAGGTTCTCCTTTCACTCTCAGAATATTCCAGATTGGATGGATTTGTGTGGACATCTATCAGAGTCTGCTATTTACTTATAGTCTCAGGAGGGGATGTGGAAGAAAGAGGAAGGAGATGCCTGGAAATGCAGCAGAGGAAAGGCTAGCTCCAGACCCTGTTGACATCCCTGCCCATCTCTCCCTTCTCTTACCCAGCTTGACAGCTGTGATATTCCAGTGACAGCTTTTTGCTTCATCAACACAGAGGCAGTTGGAGGCCTGACAATCTGCCCATGATTCCACCTGGTACTCATCTGATGCTGCCAGGCTAGTCTGAACCTGAATGTTTAGGAAATAAAGGATGTGAGAGCCGGGCGTGGTGGTGCAGGCCTGTAATCTTAACTACTTAGAAGGCTGAGGCAGGAGAAGCCAGTACAAGGCCAGCCTGGGCAATTTAGTGAGACTGTGCCTTAAAATAATAAGTGAAAGGCACACTGGGATGGGAATGAGAGGGGGAAATGGGTGGTGAAAAAGATCAAAATACATCATATACATGTATAAAATTGCCAAAGAGTAAAAGTATAAATTTTAAAAAGAGGACTGGGGATGTAGCTCAGTGGTAGAGCACTTGCCTAGCATGCTTGAAGTCATGGGTTCAAGTCACAGTACCATGGAAGGAAGGGAGGAAGGAAAGGAAAGGAAGGGAGGGGAGGGGAGGGTAGAGGAGGGGAGGAGGGGGCTATACACACAGGAGACAGCCCCTAGTGGCTTAAGGAAAATCAGGGACTGGCACACCGTCAGGGGCATGTCCAAGAGAAAATTGGTCTGCTTCCAATTTAGGGACAGACTTGTGATGGGCTGTGGGCTCCAGGGCTTCACCTGCTTCTTGTATCCCCATTCTCACCCTGATGCAATCCTTTAGATAATTGAAGACAGTGGCAGTAAGGCGGAAGGATTCCCCTCGAACCACTGAGTAAGGGAGCGTCAGATCCACAAAGAATGGCTGGAAAGCAGTTAGCCCAACAGTAGGTGAAAGGCCAAAGCCTCTGGATGGAGAGGTACAAAATGTCATGGCCTTCCACTCAGTGATGGTATCAGGAACTGTGACTTGGACCACCTCCTTCCCGGAGTTACTGTGAGAACACAAGAACCCATGTGAGGCGAGGGAGTGCAGACCGTGTGGTGAACTGACCTGCAGGAGGGAATCTATGGTGATAGAGAAAAGACAGCTGTACTAGGGAAATGTGAATCTCAGTGTGAATGTCAAATGAGCGAGGCCTACAAATATGGAAGGTGTGACATGGTGGAATGGCTTGTGACTTAAAATGAGCATGGAGGAGGTGCGTTCTTTGCTTTGGCATGGATTTAGAGTGCAGATGCCATCTACTCTGTGTAGATATGAAGTGTGAATTTGTTAAGGGAATGAATGGGTTTCTGACACCGAGATTCTTCAAATGGATCTGATGCTGAGTTCTGGGTGGACTCCACACTGTGCTTTTGCCGCATCACTTACCCAACAGGAAACAGTTCCCAGAGCCAGGTCTCAGGGAAATACTGCCGGACTTGGGAGCTCTCTGTCTGGAGTGGTGCAGAGGCGAAACCAGGCTTTGAGGCAATACCGCCACCTGCTGACAAGCCTAAGGAGAATTTCGGAAAACAGAAGGCTTCCATTGTGAGATGCACTGAGGTGAGACAGGTAGCGAGTAATTCAGAGCAAAGCAGGCAGTCGTCACTCAGACAAAGAGGAAAGGCTGCCAAGAACAGGGCTACTCAGAAAGGCCACTGGGTAAGCCGAGATCAGAGCTTCAGCTAGAGAACTGAGCACAGAAGGGATTCAAGCTCCAAAAGCCCTTCTGGGGGACAAAGACGCTGAAAACTTCCCGCATCTATGACGCACAAGCCATCACTGATCTGAGAAGGAGGCAAAAAGGAGGCTTTCAGGGTTCTATAGAGGAGTGTCTCCACAAACCCGAAGACCACAGAGGCAGCTTACCTTGCCCCATGGCAGTGCTGTAGCGTGGAGGTCGGTGACTGCAGTCGACGGGCTTCTTGATTTTGGCATTTGACAGTACTTTCAAGCCTATGCCCTAATAGATGGCAAAGAGACCAGAAGTATATATAAAAGTACCCTTAACCTATCGTGACACCTATTCCAAGGAGTTCTATCCACAATGGGTTGAACTAAAATATTCTTTTCTTACTAATAGTGAGACTGATTGTTATTACCTGTTATTCAACCACCAAGATCAGGTTGCTTCTGGTCTGGCAGTGTAGCTCAGTGACCCAGAGCATGCACAGCATACACCGCCCCAGGTTCCATCCCCACACCACAAAGAAAGACAATGTTGCATAAGATTTCAATGTTGCATAGACTAATGAGCCCTAATTCAGCCTTAAATTCATTAAAAATAAAGGTTTTTGTTGTTGTTGTTTTGGTTTTGGTTTTTGTCTTTTTAAGACAGAATCTCCCTGTAGCCCCAGCTGACCTGAACTCACTATGTAGACCAGGCTTGCCTTGAATTCACAACAATCTGCTTGCCTCTGCCTCCTGAGTGCTGGGACTAAAGGTGTGCACCACCACACCCAGGCAAAAATAAAAATGTTTAATGCTTCTTCCAAATGTTAGTCACCATGGCCTTACTATTTGACTTACATTCTCAGCTTTCTGAGGACAAAGACCATATCAGCTTAATCATTCTACAAAAATACAATGAGCATTATGAATAGCCAACCATTAGAGAAAATATGCAGGTAAAGACACGACCACTGACATAGATACCTGGTCAGACTTGGCTCGTACAGCATCCCAAGCCCTGTTCACAACACAGGTATAAAATACATATTGTTGTTGACACAGGCTCTCTCTGGAGCCCCAGCTGCCCAGAACTTGCTATGTAGACCAGGCTGGCCTTGATCTCACAGAGATCCACTTGCCTCTGCCTCCTGAGTGCTGGGATTAAGGGTGTGTACCACATCCAGCATAAAATACATTTAAAAAAAAATAGTGATGCAGATTTCTGGGTTACATCCCTAATGGTCCTTCCTGGGTGATCACATTTGAGGACCATAGAAAGAGGAGGACCAGAGCAACAGCCTTGAAGAGTGCTTCTCTCACATTTTGTGGTGGTTTGAATGAGAATGTCCCCCATATGCTCCAAGTATTCGGACACTTGGTCTCCAGTTCATGGTACTGTTTGGGGAGGGTCATGGAGCCTTTAGGAGGTGTAGCCACGCTGGATGAAGCATGTCAATGGGGACAGGCTTTGAACATATATAGCCATGCCCACTTTCAGTTAGTCTCTCCTTCCTAAGATTGCTTAAAGATGTAAGCGCTCAGCTGCTGTCTGCTCCCGCCACCGCCTGCCGCCCTGCCTCCCTGGTCATTATGGACTCTCCATCTGGAACCCTAAGCAAAAGAAATCTTCCTTCTATAAGTTGCCTTGGTCATGGTGTTTTATCACAGCAACAGAAAAGTTAATACACTAGACAACCTCTTCGGGCAGAAGAGCCAAGAAAGACTACCTCACATCTTCCGGCCTTTCTTCCCGCCAGCGCCCACATCAGCCTCTCTGCCGTGGATTCCCTTTCCCCTTTCTCACCACCGTTTTACCCATGTGTCAGAATATCCACCTGGAAGAAACTGAACACGTCTGCTCCTTCATAGAGCCAGGGTCGCCAGGTGATGGAATGCCTGATGGGTCCCCCTCTGGGCACAGGATTAAGAAGGGGTCCAGGCAAGTCCCAGGGGCTGATCACTGGGCACTCATCGTATTCATCCACTTGGTAGGGATAGTGATTGTACCAAGATGGAAACATCCGGTAGACCTGAGATGAGAGAAGAGGAAACCAAATCTGATGCTCTGAAATCAGCCAGGGAGCCTGTCCCATTCTACTGCCTCAGCTCCCTGCGTTATTTCTCTTCTGTACCTGTCTCTCTTTATCTAGCCAATCATCATTACTTTCCTTACTTTCTAGAATCTCCATCACACCTTTTTCTGATCCTCATTCCTATGTCCATATCATCCTCCTTATCAGCATCTATATTATTTCTTTCACATACCATTTCTTTTACTCCCTCCCTGCCTCCCTCCCTCCCTCCCTTCCTTCTTCTTTCCTTCCTTTCTATCTTTTGAGATTGGGCTATGCAGCTCACGCTTCCTTCCTTTCTATCTTTTGAGATTGGGCTATGCAGCTCACGCTGGCCATGACCCAATAACCTGCCTCAGCCTCCCCAGCACTGGCATTACATGCATGTGCAACCACACTGGGCTCTTCGTTTCCTCGCCATCTTTTCTATCACCTTTATGTTGGTGTATCATCTTCCTAAGACTCTTCACACTCCCTTGCTCTGATGCAGTCCGATTTCCTCTTCACTGCTTCCATTGCCCACCCCCACCCACAGCACCCACAGAGGTGTTGCTCAGCTGGCTCTCTGGCCTTAGCAGCAGGACACTCTCATCCACGGCCCGGAGTGCACACAGGGACCCAGGAGCTGCCTGCAGCTGTAGCTCCACATCTGCTCCTGGAAGCTGCTGGGAAGGTGAGAAGCCCAGAGAAACCTGGGGAGAAGAAAGGTATGCAATGGGGATGGCATCAGCCTGGACGGCAGGGGAAGCAATGTGACCTGAATCATGAACCAGCGTGCCCAAGCCTGGGATCCAACCCATCCCATCACGGTTGCACTTATTTGAATTCTTGCTCTTCTGACCTAGTATGTTATAAAACAGATGAAAAATGGTGGGAAAAGTGTGAAAGTTTAGAGGAAAAAATTGGAAAGAATGAGAATATATGGCCAGGTGTAGTGGAACATACCTATAATCTCAGCACTTGGAAGACAGAGGCAGGAGAGTCACCACAAGTTCAAAGTCAGCCTGGACTACATAGCTGTCCAAAGTAAAGGGAAGGGAGGGAAGAGAGAGGAGGGGAAGGGAACGAAGAAACAGAATATATGGAACAGCTGTATAAAACATTCAATTTTTGGCATGACTTCCTTTGTACCTTTTTTCTAAATATTTTATTTATTATTTTCATTTCTTATGTGTAGGATGTATTGCCTGCATGTATGTAAGTACACCCATGTTGTACAATGTCCATGGGGGTCAGAAGAGGGCATTAGATCCCCTAGAACTGGAGTTACACATGGTTTCTAGCTGCCATGTAGGTGCTGGGAACCAACCCCAGTCTTCTGCAAGAGCAATTAGTGCTCTTAACGCTGAGCCATCTCTCCAGCCCCCTTTTTACTTTTTGAGACAGAGTCTCACTATAGTTTAGGCTAACTCTGAATTCACAGTCCTCCTCCCAGCTCTAGCTCTGGCATGACTTTTTAAAGAAAAGGAGAAAAGCAGTTTTAGCACAAATTTAAAACACTAAAGACACAAGTACAATGTGACAACCAACTCCCATGTTATCTTCAGATTTCCCTGAACCTGCCTTGTCTCCAACTCCAGCACACACAAGATGCCAGCATACCTGATTGTCAAAGCACATCTCCATGGAGAACTGAATTTTGTCAGCTATGACACCTCCGCTGGGGAAAATGGCGTAGATAAGGAGGGAAGGGGAAGGGGCTAGTCTGGAGGTGAAGGTCAGTGAGAGAGAGAAGGAGCCTTTCAGTCCTGAAAGAGAAGAGGGGACTCAGGAAATGGGGCTGCACATCACCTACCCACACCATTCTCAACACACATTCCTCTTCTCTGGGCGCTGGTCTCGGGCCTCGTGGTGCATGCTGCTTCCTTTTCTAGTGTATGATCATTGTTAGCATTCCGTCCCAGCTACTTCTGTGTATGAGAACTATTCTCTGGAATTTTAAGGTATCTTTTTTACTTCTTTTACTTATTTATTATTAATTTATTTTTTATTTATTTATTTGTCTTTTTGAGACAGGGTCTCCCTGTAGCCCCAACTGGCTTGGAACTTGCTGTGTAGACCAGGCTGGCCTTGAACTCACAAAGATCCACCTGCCTCTGTGTCCCAAGTGCTAGGATTAAAGGCATGTGCCACCACACCTGACTACCTGGCATCTTTTTAGTTCCAGGAGAGCCATGTACACTTACCTTTCTCCTTAAAATTCAGATGTTTCTGTCCTTCCATCTCCAAAGTTCCTCTCCCTGTTACCTAAGGAAGATATTGGGGAAACAAACAAACAAAACAAAACAGTGAACACTCAGAAGTTACAGAGTCACTTGGGCTGGACCTGAGGAGCATCTCTTCAGCCCTCTCTGAAGACTGCTCTTTTCATAGCTCTAAGCCTGCATCAGTGCCTCCTTCACCTCACCCAGCAGCCATCTGTTACCAGAGGCAGGATGCTGCCCACAGGTGCTGGTGGCTCTTCCTCCAGGAGGAGGTTTGACTGACAGCCACAGCTGTGGGTCGAAGGATCCAGCCAGACAGCATATCTCTCACAGGAGATAGCTATCCAGGACTTCTTGTAGATTTTTGTATTTTATTGTTTTATAACCCTTGTAACATAAAATCAGCTAAAATCCATCCCCATAACCTTTTTCATTAATAATACAGTTCAACTCAATGAAAGTGAATCTTAAACTATCCAGAGCCTTTCTGACATCTGAATCCTGGAGGAGCATTCTTCCCTCCTAACTCCTTCCTGTGGACTCTCTGTTGAAGTAGAGTACTAACTCTATTATTTTCCATACATCCCTCTGAATTCTGTTGGCTCAAGATGATTGTTTTTCGGTTGCTGAAGACAATGAAATAAAAGAAGACACTGGAGTGATCCAGAGGAGTGACGTTCTCAGCAACTGAAAGGACAGAGGAGCAAGAAGACTTGGAACCATTAATGGCCAGTAACTGACTTATCTCTATGCATGGCTTTCAGTCTACCAGTCTGTGATTCAGCTTTCCCAACAGGGCTTCTATCAATGTTAATTTTATGTTTAGAAGATCTCTTTAAAAATATAGACCAAGGCCTGACGTGGTAGCACGCTCCTTCAATCCCACAACTCAGGAGGTAGAGGCAGGCAGATCTCTGTGAGTTCTAGGCTAACCTGGTCTACATAGTGAGTTCCAGACCAGCTGGGGCTACAGGGAAACACTGTCTCAAATATGCCAAAAAGAAAAAAATTAAAAATTAAAAAAATATAGACCATAGCCAGGCATGGTGGTGCATGCCTTTAATTCCAGTACTCGGGAGGCAGAGGCAGGTGGATCTCTGTGAGTTCAAGGCCAGCCTGGTCTATATAGAAAGTTCCAGGCCAGCTGGGGCTACAGAGAGACCCTGTTTCAATATATCCATGTAGATATATACATTGCTATATATACATATAGCAAAGGCATTTGCTATACATACCTGGAGAGTTCAGTTCAATCAATCCTGAGAACCCACAGAGAGGTAGAAGATGAGAACCAACTCAATAAAATTGTTCTCTGAAAACTATACACTTGTCACAGCACGTGTGCACATATACACATCACACACAATAATAATAATTTAAAGTATAAACCAACCAATCATGGTAACACATACCTATAATCCCATCCATGGGGGAGCTGAGGCAGGGGGAGTACCAAGAGTTCCAAGCCAGCCTGGGCTACACAGTGGGATGTTGTCTCAATCACTAGAACAAAGAGATATATATATGTGTATTTTGTGTGTCTGTGTATGTGCATGGCAGTGAAGGATGAGGGGCATAACTCAGTGGCAGAGTGCTTACTGGGTTCAATTCTCAGCACTACAAAAAGTAGAATTAAATTAAAAGTTTAATGTAGAACAAGATTTTTTCTGAGTCTCACATCCCCCCTCCCTTTCCACTCACTTTTTTGTGGCTCTGGTCAACGACATTTTCTTACTTACTTCTCATTTTATGTTCCTATACCATTGCCCTGGGTTTCTGCTCAAAGATTCTTTATCAACAGTTTCCTTCCTTCATTTTAAGATGGTGGGAGATACAGTAGACAGCAGGTTCGTGCAAATATTGGCTTTGTGATATTCAGTATTGATTATTGAAATGCAGCTAATTCAAACTGGGGTATGCTTTAAGGATTAAATGTGTGCTGCTTGAAAGACTTAGTTGAAAGAGAGAATGTAAAATATCTTTTTTGTTCTTTTAAAAAATTTTTTAATTTATTATTTTTATTTTATGTGTATGAGTGTATTGCTTGCATGTATGTAAATGCACCTGTGTCATGTAATGCCCAAGGAGGTGAGAAGAGAGAGTCGGATCCCCCTAGAACTGTAGTTATGGATGGTTGTTAGCCCCCATGTTTTGCTGGTAATCGAACCCCAGGTCCTCTGCAAGAGCAGCCACTGCTCTTAACCACTGAGCCCAGACTGGCCTTGAACTTGTAGGCAATCCTTCTGCCTCTGCCTTCTGAGTGCTGAAATTATAAGCATGGGCCACATGCGCAACTGATTTTTGTTTTGTTTGTTTTTGTTTGTTGAGATAGGGTCAAATTTAGCCCAGGCCAGCCTTGAACTCACTATGTAGCCTAGAATGACCTTAAACTTCTCATCCTTCTGCTGTTACCTCCCAAGTGCTAGGATGAGGCATATACCAATATGCCCAGTTTATGTGGTGCTGGTGATCGAACACAGGGCTTCATGCATGACAGGTAAGCACTGTGCCACGTGAGCTACATCCCAAGCCCAAGAACATAAAGGACATTAATAATTTCTATTACATTGACTTAATATTGGACTGATAATATTTGTAACAGAGTAAGTTACATAGAGTATATTTTTCAATTTTCTTTCACCTGTTCTTATAATAATTACCTTTGTTTGGGGGAGAGATCTCTTGAGCCTATCTGGATCACTATATGACTGAGACTCTGTGAACTGATCCTCCTGCCTCCACCTCCCAAGTGCTGGGGTTGTACGTATGAACCACCACACCCAGTTTTTGAGTATCTCAATATTTTTTAATGTGCCTCTAAAATTCTATAATTCTATATGTCCTGCATTATGTCTCCATGTAGGTATCTATTCATCTTCTCTTGCTAACTCCTCTTACTCTTTTTATTAAAAAAACTTATTGTTTTATGTGTATGAGTGTCTTTGTCAGCCTGTATGTAAGTGCATCACATGTGTGCAATGCCTGCGGAGGCCAGAAGAGAGCACTGGATCCCCTGAAACTGGGTAGCACTGGAGTCATGTATGGACAGTTGTTAGCTGCCACGTTGGGTGCTGGGAACTGAATCCTGGTCTTCTACAAAAACAGCCCGTGCTCCTAACCTCTGAGCCATCTCTCCAGCCCTTCCCCTCACTCCTTTTCTTTCTCAGTACCCTTTCACAAGACCCCATTTCCCAGCTCACATAGTAGGAGAAGATGACTTCTTGATCAGAGCTTGCATCTGCCGGATCAATGGAATAGTCCACCAAAACCTCCTGGGGCTGGCCACACCTCACCAGGCCACTTGTCTGCCGGATGCCCAGGAAGCTGTGGGTAGTGTTATAGAAGGGATTCAGGTGCAGGTATGCGTTTTGGTAGTAATGAGGCACTTCTTCTAGATTATATACTAAATCTTCCATTTGGAACTTTCCCTGGTCGGGGGGGGGGAGAAAGAGAGAGAGAGAATATCTTTTTAGCATATACCTCAACCACAGAGATTTCTCTCAAATCCTCACTGCCTGTGATTGACCCCATCAATTGTACCAATTGACCAGGTACTTCTTGTACCAATAGTTTTCCCCAGATAATTATATACCTTCTCTGCCTGTCTGTGGGCCTCCCAAGTAACTCCTTGTTAGCAACACGATGTTAGCATATGCAACATGTTTAGAGACTTGGAAAAGCCCTGTTGGGTCAACCCCTGTTCTTACACTTCATCACTGCCATAAGACTACAGTGTGGGCAAGACAAGGGAGAGCACCAGCTTGGAGCCAGCAGACCCACAGACATACACCAAGGTCCACCAAGATCAGCTGCCTAACTGACCACCATGAATGAAGGAGCAGTGAATGCAGTGAATGCTTCTTGTCCTCTGACAGAGACTCATGATTACTTGAGAATGTTGACAGCATCTTTGTGGCAGCTGATAACTGAATAAGCAGCCTTCCTTACAAACTACCTAAAATCTGCAGCTCTCTTGGTGGACCTTATTATGGCTTGGATCCTTATTATGGCTTGTTCCCCGAAGGACATCTGCTGGAGGCTTGATTCCCAGCCAGAGACACGATGGGAAGGTGGAATGATCCTTTAGCAGTAGAATCTGAGGGAGGAAGTTAGGTCACTGGGGGCATGCCCCTGAAGGGACATTAGGACTCTGGCAGCCCCCAACACACTCTCCTCTCTCTCTCTCTCTCTCTCTCTCTCTCTCTCTCTCTCTCTCTCTCTCTCTCTCTCTCTCTCTCTCTCTCTCATTCTCACTCTCTCTTTCTCTCTTTACTTTCATCTCCACCATCTGCTCCTACTGTGACATACTGTGCTACAGACCCAAAGCAACAGGACCAAGTGACCACGGGCTGAAAACTCTGGACCCATAAGCCACACTAAACCTTTTCTCCTTTCAAACCATTCACTCCAGAAACTTTGTCAAATGATAGAAAACTGACCAACAGAGCCACTTTTACAAGTAGTAGGGAAAGGTGTGAAGGAGGAGTCAAAAGGCCTCACTTGGAATCGTTTTTCTCCCTCAATTTCATATGTATCATCAGTCAGAGATGAGGCTGAGTTATAAGGTAAAGTTATATAAGTAAGGATTTGGGTATAAAGGGTTTTTATTTGATTAATATAAAAAAGAGAAAGGATCAAATAAAAATCTTCTGTAGGACTAGTGAATCCAAGAGTTGGATGAAGTTAGAAGTTGAGGGAAGGATTGAAAGAGAAGCAGTGAAGTTGTCCTCCAGGGAGGGCTTCCTGTCCGGGACCTGCCTCCCTAGGGCTCACCTCCAGAGAAACGTGCATCGCGTTCCAGGTGACCGTATCCAGTGTGAAGGGAGCGAGGCCATTGTTGTCAGTAGTCAGGGTCCAGTTGCTGGTTCCATTTATGCCATGAATCACCAGGAACACTGGGTGATTCTTGAGGACTGAGTCATCATGGCCCCTAACTCTTATCTGCAGGGTGAAGGTTTTGGGGTTTTAGAATTAGGTTAAGAGTAAGCTTGAACATGAGATGTTACCACTTGGTAACAGAAATTCCAAGAATATATTTCTGAAAAAAGCCCAGAAAAAGACAAATGTGATTCTAACAGTGAGAAATGAGAAACACACAGAGGTCGTTCTTTGTTTTGTTTTTAAGACGAAGTCTCATGTAGCCCAAGCTAGCCCTTAACTCATTACATAGCCAAGGATGACCTTCAACTTCAGATCCTCCTGCTTCTACCTTCAAGTGCTAAGATTATAAGCATGTACTACCACGCCTATTTAATAGGATGCCAGGGATCAAGCCCAGGCTTTGACATGCTGGGCAAGTGCCTTACCAACTGAGCTACATTCCCAGCTCTAGAAACCCACAGAAGTAACAGCCTGAAGTAGAGCCAGGTTTGCCATGTAGCTAACAAGCCCTTCACCAGCACAGGCCTCTTCCGAACTTCTGTACATTGTTTTAATTTTGTTTTCGTTAGTTTGTTTTGATAAGGTCTTGCTATATAGCCCAACTAACCTCAAATTCTGTTCTCCTGCCTTGGCTTTTTTTTTTTTTTTTTTCCTTAAATAGAGTCTTCTTCGCCTCCCCAATATTTAAGGTCTAAAGACATCTGGATCTACCTTTGGTATAGATAAGATGACTAGGAATAAATGAATCTAAATATCTAAAATTATTGTGTTGCTCATTTGTTTGGGAAATAAAAGAGATAAGCAGCTAGGTGTGGTGGCCTGTAACCCAGCACTTGGGAGGCTGAGGTAGGAGAACTAAGAGTTCTAGGTCAACTTGGGTTAACTAGCCAGACTCTCAAAAAAATCTAACAGGAAAAAATAAAGAGGAGGAGGAAGAAGAGGAGGCACTGCCCTGCTCAAAGAAGGGGGAAGTTCAGTTAGACACTAACAGAAAATCAAGAAATCTATAAAGAAAATGCTTTAAAAGCTATGAATGGGTCTCTGCTGAGAAGTGTGATGTTAACTTCACCTAGACACAGGTGCCCAGACTACATGACCTCTCTAAACGCACTGCAACTCCTGAAATCAAAGATGTGAACGAGACAAGAAAAGCCCCTGGTGTTAAGACAGTCCCAGAACTCGCTCAAGGCACAGCACAAGGAGTTAAGAACATTCGTTATAGATGACTTGGTCTTACGAATTAGTAACTATATAACTTGGGGGGGGGAATCACTTAATTTCTCTTGCCTCAGTCTTTTCATTTGTAAAATGGGGCCAAATAATAAAGTCTACCCCACAGAAGTGTTGTAGATCAAATGAGTGAATATTGCATACAGCATTCAGAAAAACAGCCTGAAGTGGATAGGTCAACGGAGTTTTTTGATTGTTTTGTTTTGCTCTATGCAGAGACGAGTTGCAACATACCTTCCCGCTGAAGGGGAAACTGGGGTAATAAAAAGTATTAGTATCTTCAAAAGTTATTGATCCCATTTTTGAGGTAAAGGAGATGTCCTGGGTGGTATTGGCCTCCAGTCCTGCAGAGGGAGACAGATGTATAGTGTTCTAAGTCCTGAGATCCCATGTTTAACATAAAATTCCAGAGGGTGTGGTGGTATAGAGAGCATGAAGTTGAATATATATTTTTTTAATTTAAAATTTTTTAAATTTTATGTATATGAGTGTTTCCTGCACGTATGTAAGTGCACCCACATCGTGCAGTGGTACATGGAACTGGAGTTACAAGAGTTGTTAGCCATCATGTGGGTGCTGGGAACCAAACCTGAGTCCTCTGCAAGAGCAGCCGGTGCTCTTAACCACTGAGCCATCTCTCCAGCCCCTAAAGTTTATTTATTTGTATTTTATGATGCACATGAGTTTTTGCCTGGATACACATAAGTGCACCAGGTGCATGCAATGCCCGTGGAGGCCAGAAGAGGGAGTCAGATCGCCCTGGAACTGGAGTTATGGACTGTTGTTAGCCACCATGTGGGTGCTAGGAGCAGCCACTGCTTTTAACCATTGATCCGTCTCTCTAGTCCCAAAGCTGAATTATTTTCTAACCAAAAATTCAAACTAACTCCAGGGTAGATAGGTAGCAAGATGGCAGGGATAGTGAACTGTGAACTGTGAACTGGGTACAGAGCACTGCCCAAACACTTGTGAGGTAGGTACTAAATCTTCTTCTTTTGTTGTTGCTGTTGTTTAATTGTTTTTTTTGTTGTTGTTTTTTGCTTTTAGTTTTGAGAGACGGTTTCCTATAGGCCCAGCAGACTTGGAACTAGTAGAGGAGGCTGGCCTTGAACTCAAGATCTGCCTGTCTCTGCCTCCCAAGCACTGGAATTAAAGGAGTGCACCATCACTCCCAGCCCAGTCTCGTTTCTTAATGAACCAGGGAGTACCCCTCTTACCAGTCCCTTCCTCCACCACCGAAGCGACCATGTTGATGCTGTGGCTGTACCTATATCCAGTAAGTTGGAAGGTGGACATGTCCACAGAAGCCGAGAAGCACCCTGCTTTGTCAAGCTGTGGAGGCAACCAGAGAGAGGGGCAGGATGGGTAATCCAATCCCTACTTCCACTTCACAGTGTAGAAGCAGTCACTGATCCCCATGCCTTAATTTATCCATCTTTAAAATACAAAGCTCTCTGGTAACATGGCTTATACACCTACACATTCGCTATCCTGCAGCATCTTTGAAACCCCGGGCTATACAAAAAGGGTAGAAGAGCACTGGAATGTCGACTCTTACACAGCTGAGGTTAATTTCTCGACGCCAGGGCAGACTGGGAAGCTGTGCTCAGGACAGTCAGCACTGCTGCGTTCTTTGGAACTGAGATAATGATCCTGTGAGACTTGCACACTGGGCTTTTGACAGCTTTTCCCCACTGGCTTACTGATTCTTTGGAATCCATGTGGATAAGGTTTCTCTTCGAGCCTCACCTGTCCTGAGAGGTTTCTGCACTTGTCAGGCAGCTGCTGCTCTTCCACCTTCCGGTACCAGTACGGATGTGCCTTCTGACACAGTGCTGCCTGCACCGCCCCTTGCACCGGTTTCCCGTATGTGTATCTGGCAAGAAAAGCACAAAAAGCCAGTTGTGAAACTCCCTGAGATGCAGCCTTCTTCCTTCCTTCCATGCCCCAGTCTCCAGTGCTCAGAAAGCCCTGCTGTGTTCTAGCTGTTTGTTTCCTCCCTCCCTCCCTCCCTCCCTCCCTCCCTTCCTTGCACCCTTCTCTTTTTCACTGTGCTAGGGGTCTAATCCAGAGCCTTGTGCATTTTGGGTAATTTCTCCACCACTAAGCTACACCCCAGCCCAGCCTGTATATTTTACATAATCACATTTGTGTAAAGTAGGGATGATGCCACCAACCACACAGCTTGCTGGAAGAGTTTTAAAAAGATCTGACAGATAAACTTCCTTTCATGCTGCCTGCAACAGAATTGGCCCTCACTAAATATTAATTCCCTCCCTCCCTCTCTTCCTTCCTTTCTCCCTTCTTTGCCTCTTTGGTACCGAGGATTCAACCCAGAGCTTTGTTCAAACAATTTTTCCACAGCTCTTCTGTGGCCTTTCTTGTTTTGTTTTGAGACAGGGTCTCCTGTAGGCCCAGCAGACCTGGAACTCACCATGTAGACCAGGCTGGATCTCACCATGTAGACCAGGCCAGATCTGCCTGCCTCTGCCACTGCCTCCCAGTGAAGGGATTAAAAGTGTGTGCCAAGCCCAACTTCTTTGGTACCTTCTCTTTTGAGACAAGGCCTCACTAAGTTGCCCATGCCAGCCTTGAACTTTCTCTGTAGCCCTGGAAGACCATAACTTTTAATCCTCCAGCCTCCGCCTCCTGAGCAACTGGGATGACAGGACAGTACCACCAGACTTCGGCCTCCTTTCTCTTATCTCCCCATGGGATTCAATATTGTACTCAACACATAGAAGAAATTAAATCCATAATCTTGACTCATTTAATAATGGAAAGTCAGAGCAGAAACATGCTTGGAAAACTTCCTGGATGACCCGTGACTCCAAGCTACACAAAATATCCTGAGTTGTAATCAGCTGTATAGTCCCTTCCTAGTAACACTCCCTCATCACCTCTCGCCGAAGCTTTAATCTCTACCAGCTCTAGAACCTCTGCTCCTACCTGCAACATATTTTCACAAAGAAGGATTCTGCCACCGTCAATAATTGCTTCGGTTCCAACACTTCTATCTTAAACTTGGGCAGCACTGGGGATGGCAGAAAGAGACATAAGAGGAGGTCTTGGCACAATTAGTAGTTACAGAGCAGTCGGAAAACAGTGATAATTAAATTAACCAGTTAATTAATGGAACATTGTTGAAATAAAATTATTCCTGAAGTTATTAGCTTGGTTAGCACTGATTTTAAAATGAATAAGGGGTTGGAGAGATGGCTCAGCAGTTAAGAACACTGGCTGCTCTTGTAGAGGACCAGGGTTCAGTTCCCAGCACCCACATGGTGGCTAACAACCACCCATAACTCCAGTTCCAGAGGGTCCAATGCCCTCTTCTGACCTAGGTGGGCACTGCACTTACATTCACATAGGCAATACAGTCATGAAATAAAAATAAGTAAAATATGTTTAGGAAATAAATAATAATAAATAAATAAACTATTCCTTCCCCTTTACCTTTGCTGATTTTGAAGCAAGATTGTGCCCAATCCTTTGCCTTGTTAATTTCCCCACCTACCATATTCCTCCACACTGAAAGTGCCAAAGGTCTTGCCCTCGGCCACTGTAATGGTGTAGGTGCCCAGCGTTGCCTCTGGTGCCAGTCGAAAGGATAAGTCCACAATGCCTTGTCTGGGTATCACGTCCAGCCACTGTGCAATCCTGTTGCTATTTGGATCCTGTGTCCAATAAAGAGAAACTTCATGACGTGGCTATTTGCTTCCTGCTCAGCACATCAAAAAGCAGGGAAAGGTGGTTGGAGAGATGGCTCAGCAGTTAAGATCACTGGCTGCCCTTGCAGAGGACCTGGGTTCAGTTCCCAGCACCCACATGGCAGCTAACAACTGTCTGTAACTCCAGTTCCAGAGGATCTGACAGCCTCTTCTGGCCCCTGTAGGCATATGTCGTGTACTGACATACATGCAAGAAAAACACTTGTACACATAAAAATAAAACAAAAACAAAAGTTAGGCGTGTTGGCAGATGCCTTTGGTCCCAGCACTCGGGAGACAGAGCCGGGAGACAGAGCCAGGTAGACCTCTGTGAATTCCAAGCCCACTGGGGCTACAGGGAGATCCTGTCTCAAAAAGATCAAAAATAAGTAACTTCCCACACACACACAAAAAAAATTATTCAAAAACAAAAGAAACA